CAGCGTCCAGTAAGAATTCCGGCGATTCTCGACTTCAATTGAAAGATATTAGCTCGCCAGTAGGTGACCGTTGTGTGTTAGGCGTGCGTTTTGAGTTTGTCTCCGGCTGCTGAGAGCAGCGATGGAATGGTTAGTTAGTCAGGAGGTGATCGTTCGGGCAACATTCAGCCCAGCCAGTGTCACGCATGGCAAAATACACGGTTAAAATACACATGTTCACCCTATTGAGACCAGTTGTTATGGTGGAAACTTTGGCCGCTTTGCGGGACGGGAAAATATCATCAGATCGGAATGAAATTTTGCACAGAACCTTGTACCATAGTATCGACAAGAATTCCGACCCGGCCCGACGAATCCGACAAACTTTTTTTTTTGCCATGAAAATGTGGACCACCCTAGTACACACGTTCACTTTTTTTTTTCAGTGCCACTTGCCAATTTAGTGCGGAGAAATATTCTCAAAACCTGACAGAGAAACAAATAAAAACATGGGATTTAAAATATCACTTCCATTATCTATGCTTCAACGACCCAGCGAATTACGAAAAGTATTACGACAGTTGACATCAAGTTAAGTGTCTTAGCGATTGTTATTCTTTGATGAATCAGGTTTTCATGAGTGCACAGTTGTCTTGGCATTATTGAACATCATAATCTGGTGATGAAGCTTCACATTGTGTCGCTTCCCTATTTCCTCGCTGCTGATATGAATCTGGTAAGGCTAAAATTTTGAACCCGATTGCCGTGATCGGGGTTAAAATTGTGGCTAACGGGGTTGTCTGCGAGCTTCCACTGCGCATGCATAAGCACTGAGTCTCTGGAGCCTATGGGCGGAACGGACGCCACGTCTGCAAATTATTTAGGAACAGTTGGCAGCTCTGTCTTCATCTGTCCTTGGGGTTATAAATCAATAAATTGCATGTAGTACACTGTAAACACAAATGATTTCATTAGAAAGTAATTGGAGAAGTGGAGTTATTGAGGTGTACTGTGGAACAAAAACATCTCTACACGGTTGTCAAACGGGCTATGCTTTGAGAAAGACCAATTTTGATGTGAAGTGCAGTTTTGGTTATGATCGCAGTCATCCTTCCAAGATCTGAGCCTGTATTAGCCAATGTTGCAGTGCTCATTTTCCGTTAGCAATGGAGACCCCTCAGGAAGTATCTATTGCCCATTTGAAAGATATTCTACAACAAACATGAGAAATTGCCGACGAAGAAGCAAACATATCACCTCTTTCAACGAGCTGTTCATCATTGGAAGAATTTAAAAAAAGAACTCAAGACCTAAAGATTTTTCCCGCAGTGTGTTACTGGGTGCTGGAGCTCCAAGGCTCAGAAAAGTTTGTGATGAAATTCTGCATCAGAAGCAGCTGAAGCCTCTCAGAGGCACTGGAATGCTGTGGTTTTACAAAGGGGTAGATCCTTTCCGCCTAGTGCTGTAGGAATCTTAGAGTGGCATCAGCCTAGTGGTGTGGAACAGGAGAGGATTCAGGTCCTCAGCGTGGACGGCCCGATGGAGAGAGGGCTCAGAACGACTGCGCTCAATTTTTGGCAACAGGTCCTGTACTTGCTCAATGGCTACAAGGATCTGATGAGGGAGAAGAAAATGTAAATCAGCAACATAAGGTATAAAATGCTCAGAACCAAAGTTGGAAATAACAGTGCTTCTTTTAACTATATTAATTTTCGTAGCAATGTCGTTGAGTACAAAGCGCCACAATGTCAACAGCTCAGTCATGTTTCTGTATTTATCGGATTCTTACAGCTGATTGTGAACAGTATCATTGCCGCCCACACTTTACTAAGTAAGCAATATGGCTCGGAGGTCATTGTTTGTGGTGCGGCCGTCAGTCATGGATTCCTTAAGTGGAACGCATACAAGTTCAGATTCTTGCTCAAGACATTCATGATTGAGGCGGGAACAAATCAAAATTTTTGTGTCATGGAGCTTTTTACATATGATTTGAATGAAAAAGCCACCAATCTCAGTATGCCAAGTGGTATCTGTGACAATCACTCTGAATATATAAATGAATGAATGCATGAGGCAATCTAGAAAACTAAGTTCAGCAAAACCTTGCTTTTTAGTCGGACTTGGTCTTGCATGTGTCGCTGATGTGTTGCGTGTTGTTCTGGCTATGTGTGAATTTTATTCTAGAGAATCATGAGTAAGCGTGGCGTTGAGAAAAACAATGACTTCCTCGTTACAGATTGCTCACGGAGCAATTGCGTCCACAACTGTGCACCAACGAGAGTTTGTGTAGTATGTAGCTGTGCGCGCCTGAGCAAACGTTTTTCCACTCGCTCTGCCACATGCACGTTTCCAGCCGCATGCAGCATTAGTACGGGCTTGTAAATACCAGTTAATAGACCTCGGTACACGTCAACTTAACAGCCGCTCATCAAACAAGTTGTGGACACCACTTAGCAGTAAATTAGTATCATTTAACATATTTCTTCTTACTGAACGTTGAAAGATTTGTAGAAAGGTGAATAATATACAAACTACAGAGCACACGACCCAGTGGCCAGATTTTTCTTAATTTCTTTTTACACTTAAATTTGTTTGTGGGTTTCAGTTTGGCACTTAAATGCAGTGTGTTTTTACTACTTATCTTCAATATTTAATTTTATACATTTCTATGCACGGTGCAATTTTTCATTCAGCTATTAGAAATATATGTTACACTCTCTAGATAGAACAAAATAAAAAAGAGAAAATTACTTTGCTGAGTAACTAATTAGTAAAAGGAACTCAACTTTTAGAAGGCAGTAATTAAAGTTAGTCACGCAATTACTTTTTGGAAGAAGAAATTTGAAAAAATAACTAATTACTTTTTCAAAATGCCCAACACGGTTAAGAACAATTACATTTGTCAACAATAAGATGCTCATTTTGACAAGAATGTAACATTCAAAAGGTAAAGATGAGCTACATTATTACTATGCGTCGAACAGTTTTTACCTTTGGAATTCTTTGTTTTCTAGGAATGTGCTTTACATCCAAAGCCCCGTTCACACGGCACCGTTTGGTCCGACGCAGCTCCGAAATAAATCCAGTCGAGCGTTCACACGTGCACATTTGCTCCGGCGTAGCTCCACTAAAGAGCTTATACCGGACCAAATTTGATCCACCTCAGGGAGGTGGTTTAAAAATTTGCTCCAGAGCAAATGCTCATTTGCGACGCTACGCCGAAACAAATGTGCACGTGTGAACGCAGCTGGATTAAATTTGCTCCAGAGCAAAGGCTCGCTTGCGGGGGAGTGGCCACGCTACGCTCGCTACCAGACGCACGGAATCCGACCCCGCTCGACAGTGACGAGGGGGCCAGCGACACAGACGAAGCCCGGCCGTGGACCCCCGTCCCCGGTAAAAGTGTCGGCGATTTAAGCGGTGAAGACAGCGCTCACGATCAAGATGAGAATCGAGAAAGCAGTGACGTCAGCCGAGCCCGATTTGCAGGCCCGAGCCCGAAGCAAACCCGACATTTCATATTTTATTTGTGAGTATTTTTGGGAGAAAAAAAACACAAGATTTCTTACGGTTAAAATAATCTACATATTTTTATGAACATGATCAATGCATTTGCACAACGAAATAACGCTGAAATACAGAATAAGAGGCCAGACAAAGAGAAATCTCGATGTGCATTTGCTTAATTACGCAGAGAAATCCTGCGGCTTCCTAGGCTTTAAATAGAATAATTCAAATCAAATAGGTAAAGATATCTGAAATTATTTCTACAGGATTGTTTAAACGAAATTAAC